GGTAGATCAGGACCTTGGAGGATGCAGTATAGTAAGACCGGTACCTTGGAGGACCCAGTCCAGGTAGATCAGGACCTTGGAGGATGCAGTATAGTAAGACCGGTACCTTGGAGGACCCAGTCCAGGTAGATCAGGACCTTGGAGGATGCAGTATAGTAAGACCGGTACCTTGGAGGACCCAGTCCAGGTAGATCAGGACCTTGGAGGATGTAGTCCAGTAAGACCGGTACCTTGGAGGACCCAGTCCAGGTAGAACAGGACCTTGGAGGACCCCGTCCAGGTAGAACAGGACCTTGGAGGACCCAGTCCAGGTAGAACAGGACCTTGGAGGACCCCGTCCAGGTAGAACAGGACCTTGGAGGACCCCGTCCAGGTAGATCATGATGACTTGCTGCCATGGGCTATTGCTTGGGTCTACTTCCTGAACTAAACCATGTTACCATGAAGAAGAACTGGAAGTCTAGACCCGTCCTGTCGAGCTCTACTTGGCTGTTTTCTCTCCCTATGATGTCACACAAGGAAAAAAAAAGTTCCCCTAAACTTTCTACATAATCAATTCTATAGAGTTAAATTAAAATACTTTATAACTGTTTGCAAGGAAGGTTTTCTATAAAGTGTTTCTCATTATCAGGGTTTATACAGGAATGAGAAACTAAAATTTTATGCTTTTTATTGCTCTAAGAAATAATTGTAATGCCATCAACAAGAACCCATGACTCATATATATATATATATAAATATATATACATGTATATATATTTATATAAAAAACATGACAAAATCCTTCATTATCTTTACCGTCGACAGGCTGCAGCCACGTCCTGAATTCCTCGTTTTCCAGCCACTTTTGTTTAAATTTGCATTTTCCCCATTCTCTACATTTTTCTCCGATTCGAGCTTCATTTTCCGAACATTCGGAAAGAGCAGCAAATATATCCCGATATGACATATATCACAAAATTGTTTTCATAATTTTTTTTTTTTAATAAAGCATTTTAACGGTGATCACATATAAAGTTGTGGGGAAGCAGCCGTTCCAGCGGTTAAAGCTCAGAGTTCTCCCGAAATTTACATGAGTGAATAAAGTGAATGTGATTGGTCAAATATCAAGGGGGCGGGGTTGTGGGCGGTTTGTCG